TCTCTCTCTCTCCCCCTCCTTTCCTTTCTCTGAAATCAATAAAGATATATTTTTTTAAAAAATCAAAAAAGGATAATGATTGTAGCTGGTTATTAAATGAAAACACAAATCCAGGAGGCAGGGAGAGGATAACCAGAATAAGCAGCTCCTTTTTACCAAAAAAAAAAAAAAAAAAAAAAAGCAATAAAAGCCCTGGCTAGTGTGGCTCAGTGGATAGAGCATCGGGCCACAGACTGAAGGGCCCCGGGTTTGATTCTGGCCAAGGGCACATACCTGGGCTGCAGGCTCGACCTCTGCTCCCGGTTGGGGCATGTGGGAGGCAACCAATCAATGTCTCTCTCTCACGTTTCTCTCTTTCCCCAAAATCAATGGAAAAAATATCTTCAGGTGAGGAATAAAAAAGATAAAAATTGAAAGAAATACGGCTCAACTCTGAGAGCTGTGGGTGAAGAGCAGGAGGAAGGGCCCTTCCACCCGGGGCACCCCCCAGGCATACAGGGTTCTGTCTGTGCAAGGTGCCCAAGACGCGCCCAGTGCACTCGGCTGCCCGACAGCCCTGTGGCCTGAGGCAGGTCCCTCCTGCTCACAGCACACACTGCCTGAGCCACGCTCACCAACATCCTGGTATGTTCCCATTTCCCAGGCAAGGAAACTTAGGCACACAAAGGTGACAGGACAAGGTCACTTGCCCCAAGTGTCTCTTCCAACACCACCTCCTTCTAGCTGCACCCGCAGCACGTACCCCACATTCTCATCCCCACCCGTCCGCTGGCCACCTGCACCCACCTGAGAGGCGAGGAAGCGCTTGAGTGAGTTCCCGGTGTGCAGGTCCATGCCCCTTATGACAGCCCCCACGATGAATGGCCGGACGTCCCTGACCTCGGGGCTGGCCGTGATGGTCAGCGGGGCGGGGTTCTCGGAGACATGTAGCACCCTGAGCAGCAGCTGGCTGGCCTCGCCCACCTCCTCCTCGCCCTCACCCCCCTCCCGCTTCCTCCTCTCCCTCCTCTTTCTCCGGCTCTCTTCCTTCTCGGGCTCGGCCTTGCCCTTGCCCTTGCCGCAGCCCCTGCCGCCCACCCTCAGGTACTCCAGGATGGACTTGGTCTGGCAGCTGCTGACCATCTTCTCCAGGCGTCTGTCCTTCAGCCTGTTCCCGCGGAAGTTGACCTCCTTGAGCTTGGGGCAGTCAGCCAGCTCCGCGGGGATCTCGCTCAGCTGGTTGTTGGAAAGGTCCAGTGTCTGCAAGGCAGGGAGAGCCCATCAGACTCCTGGACTCCGGCCCAGCTCCGGGACAGGACACACCACGCGCCGCGGCACCTCTCCCAGCCCCTCACCAGCACCACCAGCAGTGATCAAGGCGGCTTCTCTGGGGGAAGGAGCTGCTGGCATGGCCAGTGGTCTCTAGGAAACACCTGTCTGCCCCTCAGCTTCCTTGGGGTCACAGCTACAGCAACATTTTAGGTGGGTGGATGGATGGTCAGAGGAACAAGACAGCAAGGGACAGGGGAACAATCAATTGGCTTATGAAAAACGAGTCTTTCAGATGACAGGTGCCCCACAAAGTGGTGCTAAGGTTTTTTAAGTTAAACATGCTAACCGAGCACACAGGAGAAACATACTCTCCCCCCACACTGACACAGCCTGGGCAGCAAGTGGGAACTGGTGCTAACACTGCTGGGGTCGCAGGCCCTGCTGTGACCCAGGAGGGTGCTGGGGCCCACTGTCTGCCCCTGTAGGGCAGGGGTCAACCTTGTACTCAGAACAGGAATGAAAGGGCACAAAGTAAGCCAGATTTGGCCTTCAGTCACCACTAGGACCGAGCAGCAGAGGGGCCACTGCATGGCCACCTGCCTACTCTCCAGGCCTTTTGCCACTCAGGCTAGACTGGATAGGGTGGGGGCAGATAGACTGTATCTCCCCTCCCACTCCCCTGGCAGCTCCTCCCATCAGGAGGCGGAGCCTGCACTCAGCCTTTGAATCCTAACCCACAGCCACCATGATAGTGCCAGGTCCTGGGCCCAGGATGGCAGCCTGCACACTGCCCTAAGAAGCCAGCCTCTGGCATTGGAAAAGATTGGGTTGGAGGATGGGGCCGGCAGGGCCCATGTGCCCGTGTGCCCCTTGCTTGCCCCAAGCTGGGAGAGCAGGGAAGGGCTCCTGTCTCAGGTCAGGCTGGGCTGGTCTGCATGCAGCCCTGTCCGCACACACTGGCTCTGCAGTCCCTGCACTGTCCAAAGGGGCTTTGGCCAAACAGCCTGCCGACTCCACTGGCGTCATCCTCACCACTGCAGGAAAACACGGCTGGCTGGGTGGCTGGGATGTGTCTGCCTGCGCGGTGAAGAGACCCTGGCAGCTCTGCCTTCCTGCTCTGAGGAGCCCTGAGCTGCCATGTGAGAGGTCAGACTGTCTTGCTGGGAGGGAGAGGTCCCGAGGTGACATGGAGAGAAGCCCAGCTGTCCGACACTCCAGCCGAGCTAGCCCTGAGCCTGCAGCCAGCTGGACCAGCCACACACGATCCACAGAAGGCAGGGACTTTCCCTCTGAGCCCAAGAACTTGGAGAATCGTTAGCAACCAAAATGACTGCTGTTTTCAGCCAGTCTTAGAGCAATAACACAGCCAGGGACAACTACACAAGCCCCACCCAACACCTGTCTGACCCTCAGCTTCCTGGGGGTCACAGCTACAGCAACGTTACAGGTAAATGGTCAGAGGAACAAGACAGCAAGGGACAGGGGAATGAGCAATTGGCTTATGACAACTGAGTCCTTCAGATGAGAGGTGCCCCACAAAGTGATGTTAAGGTTTTCTAAGTTAAACATGCTAA